GGCAAGACAGTTCATCCCCTTCTGCACTGACACCAAATTCAGTGAGGTCACTGTGCTCTGTTACTCAATTCCATGCCCACCCATTCACACACACACATTTTACAAAGCAGAATGCCAGAATGGGCCATCTCCTGCCTTAGCCATGGGGAGGAGAAAACCAAATCATCCAAGCCAGGGAGATATGGAGCTTCACTCCATATCAGTCCTAGCCAGCTACAGTTCTAGCCAGCAGTGTCCCCGTAAAGATGCTGCTGATGGGAGCTGCAACTGAACAACATCTAAAGGATTAGCCCCTTTCCCTGAAGGATTAGCCCCTTTCCCCAACCCTGATGTAAGCCCAGTTGATGCACTGATCATTCTCTAGGGCCTCACAACCAGAATTTGTAAAAGAACTCTGCCATCACCCCCTTTGCATCCCAAGTTTTAGCAAAGGGGTGACTTCATATAAGGAGCTCCTTGTACATGTATGCACCACACATATGCATATTACAAGTGCACAGAGATGCATCCATCCTCCTTTTGTCGGCATTCATCTTGAACAGGTAAACAGGTAGAAAGGGATCAGACTTCCCCTGAATGTTACTGGGCCTATTGCTCAACACTCAGTCTTAAATGTTCCTGTAACCACCAAGAGGTCCTTCTGACATTTTCAAGGACCCTTGTTCTTGACTGCCTAGCAAATTCAAACAGATGCTTAAGTAACTCAAACAGACCCCACTTGAGAAGTCATGACAACCATCTAACAAAGCATCCCATTCCACCACCCACCACCACTAGGGGAATTCACACTCACTGTATTGACTCCCCCTCCCTTCAGTGATAAGTAATTTAAACAAGTAGCAGGGAGCAAGCCTGACACTGTTTTCAGACAGAGTGCTTAGAAGCATTACTTTGGAGGAGTACAGCTTCCAGAATCTTCCACCCATTCTGGCCGGCTGGGGATTCTGGGTGTGGTGCTCCCAAATGTAATGCTTCTAGGCTCTGCACACTCATCCCCTGAAGCTTGTGAGCTTGGCCAACAGTATCATCAACTGATTGGATGTCTCTTGTTTATTATGGAAATAACTCAATAAAGCCCACCAAAAATTGGGGAGGGGGAAGATGAATGGTGCTCCAACTAAGCATAAGACATACAATCACTGGAATCCTATTTGAAACAAATTTTTGCTGGACTTTTCACAAAGTATGCATGTGTGGGTCAATAGGTGGCTATTTAACCTGACTTAAGAATTTCAACAAACAAGTCTGGTGGCTCTAGAAGACTACAGCCTTCATCATCCCAATCATTCTTTATAATTGAAGAATTATACAAAAGAGATGACAAAATGAAGGACACATGGAATGAAGAGCCATATGAAAATGAACTCCACATTCTAAAAAGTGAAGTGGAAACTGCAATAAGAGAAATAGTGAAAAACAAATCACCAGGAATAGATGATATTCCAATTGAACTGCGGCAATCCGCACTGACAGAGTCAACTCTAGTGCTAACCAACATATGTCAACAGATATGGAAAACAAAATGATGGCCAACAGATTGGAAATGATCAATATACATTCTCATCCACAAAAAGGAAGACACAAGAGACTGATGTAACTATAAGACCATAGCACTGATCTCCCACACAAGCAAAATCATGCTCAATATTCTGCAACATAGACTCCAACCATACATGGAGAGAGAAATCCCAGAGGTCTAAGCAGGGGTCAGGAAAGAAAAAGGCACTAGGGACCACATTGCAAACATACAATGGCTAATGGAGGGAATTCCAAAAGGAAATCAGCATGTGCTTTATAGACTATAACAAAGCCTTTGTCTGCATAGACCATGAAAGGGTATGGAACACCCTTAAAGACATGAGAGTGGCAGCACATCTGACAGTCGTGATGAGGAATCTGTACTCAGGACAAGAGGCTACTGTCAGAAACAGAATGGTTCCCAATTGGCAAAGGAGTCAGACAAGGCTGGATCCTTTCACACTATCTGTTCAACTTGTATGCAGACCATATTATAAGAAAAGCAGGCTTGGATACAGAAGAAGGAAGAGTGAAAATAGGAAGAAGGAATATCGCAGGTGACACCATAGTACTAGCAAAAAACCTGCTCAAAACAGCCACAATGCTGCAGAGCTGGGGAAAAGTGCGGTCCTCCAAATGTTGTGGAGACTGCAACTTCCAGTATTCCTTATCATCGGCTGTATTAGTTAGGGATGATAGGAACTACAGTCCAAACAACATAATGGACAGGTATAATGGACATACACACACACATTTCCCAGCCCTGTGCTACAATGTCCACATTAACCACACAGGCTCCTACACACACACAGCCAAGAAAATATGTTAAAAGCACTGTATACAACAGTTACTAGTCTTAGAAGCAAAAATGACAAATCTGAAGCTATCATACTTTGGTCATATCGGGCCTTTGCAGACTGCTAGAAATAGTGCAAATTGAGTCCACTTTAAGGGTTAGGGAATCATGGGAACTGTATTTTATTGTGGCACCAGAGCTCTCTGACAGAGAAGGCTCAATGTCTCAGAAAAAAAACAAAACAATTCCCATGATTCCCTAGCACTAACCCTAACCCTTAAAGCGTCAATTTGCACTATTTCTGGCAGTCTGCAAAGGCACATCATGAGCTAAAAAGATGCTAATGCTTACTAAAGTGGGAAGCAGGAGGAAAAGAGAGAGGCCACATTACAAATGGATAGGCCCTCCCATTCTTAGGCTCACCATACGTCAAAGCTAACTTGACAGCAATTGATAACACCAAAACCTACAGATGCAGATGTATGCTGGGAAGAAAAACCAAAGTACAACAAATAAATAAATAAGGTACACAATGCCTTTAAAGCACTTTGATTCCTGCAATATGCCGCATAAAGCATTGGTTGGTTAATATGTCCACCACCAAGAAACTGCAGCTACAGTGGGCCTTCCAACCCCGTTCACTGGGGTTGGGCTTAGGAACCCCATTAAAGTGGAAAAACTGCAAATAAAGAAGCATTATTATTTTTTTACCTGAAGGAACACCTAGGTAAGAATCTCTAGATCCTCCAGTGCAACTCCGTGGTCCAAAAGTTGACTACAGAATTTTGTCTAGAAATATCTAGGTCCTCCAGCACAACTCTGCTGGAAGCTGACTATAGAGTTGTGATGGATAACCTAGAGATTCTTAGAGAAAATTTTTCTCTAGGCATTTATAGGTTCTCCAATGCAATTCTGCAATGCAACACCGTGGACCAAAAGTTGACTACAGAATTGCACTGGAGAACATATGAATGAATGCCTAGAGAAAAGTTTTCTCTAAGAATCTCTAGGTCATCTATTGCAACTCCGTAGTCAACTTCCAGCAGATTTGTGCCGGAGGACCTAGAGTTTTCTAGAAAAAAAATATTACTCAAATCTGTGAATAAGCAAATCCACAAAAGTCAAAGCTACAAATATGGAGGGATGACTGTAGTGTGTTGGGAGAGTGCATGCACACTTCCAAAAGGACTCAAACCAGCGAGCCAAGCTACATTTCACAGAAAACCAAAGTATCCTTAGGGACCTTTAATCACAGAGCAGCAGAGGTGGCTCCGAGATCATAACAAGCCATGGAAGGCAGTAGATGAGACAAAATGTTCCCCACAAAGAACACAGGTTAAGGTCTCAATCCACTCCTATCCAGCTGAGTTTGCCTTCACTTTGCCAGCCCCAAATGGGGAGCCTTAAAACCATGAGCAATGCAACAGTATACTATTGGGGCAACAAAGTCTCAAAGCCAGGCTTGGAAATGGCTCCAGGGCAAGACAAGTTCCTGCCTGGGATCCCAAACCAGACCCTATCTATCCTGACCTCCCCGCCTGCAGGGATGTTGCTGGCATATATGTGCAAAATGCAGACATTCCCTCTCCATGAGAATCCCCTCCATCAATTTTTCCTTCACTCCCTACATTTCATTTAAAAATTAGAGTTCAGGCAGGCAAAGGGAGGCGAATACAGCAAACAGAAGTTTTTTAGATGTGGGCAATTTTCAAGGCCTCCACCACTGCAGTGGTAGAAATTTGAGGACTGAAGGACTATTTGGTAGGGAAGAAGAATTCTTGTCTTGGGGATGGATGCCCTCATTGCCCCCCTCTCCAGAGCTGCAGACCTTGCCTGCCTGCTGGAGTTTTGCTTCTGAATAGCTCAGCTCTCCTCCTTCGGAGTAACTCCAGGGCTGCATCTACATGGCAGAAATAAAGCAGTTTGACACTGCTTCAAGTGCTGCT